CTGATGACCTAACAAGCTCACCACAGCCCAAAGGGTCGTGCAGGTCTCCCATCATCGCCCCTTCCACCCTCCTTTGTCCATCGGGCTCATGAGCTCTCATTTCTCTCTGCAATTTCTGCATGAACTGTTGCTACTGGAGACTTTGGCTACAACCGAGTAATCAGTTAAGAGGCCTAGCCTGATACCAACAGTTAGTCTTTCCTGCTGTTTCGCGGTTTTCCGCACACCCCGTGTCCCACTCTTCAAAGAAAGTCAGGAACTGCCGAGAATAGCTGTAGCGGATATTTGCCTGTAAAACATAGTGATGAGCACAGTCGGATTTCACAATGACATGGAAATTCAACATACGCAAACAAAACCTATTTGGACACGCTTTTTTTAGTGCAAAGGGAGAAGGGGACAAATAGTAGCTGAAAACTTCTCACGGGAACACAGGAAGGAGAAAAGTTTTGTTCTCATTGCCGAGGTGCTTGTTCCTAACTGACTGGTACAGAAGCTGTCTCACACACTTTACCTCTTGAAGCAAGAGGAGGATTGGGTGCACCGTACATTTTCCAGAATATTAATTTTATCTAAAAGTGTTTACATTCCACCTCCTCCTTCTATCATATGACGTGGAGAATCTCATATGGTATGTAGAATTCAATGAGGATATCACACCCACTCACCCTGGACAATTTCCAAACTAACTGCTTCTTCCTACTTGCACACCAGCGATATTTAAGCAACAAAAACAAAATTAACAAAATGTAGTCAAAATACACAAAACATTTACAATATGATTAGCTGTTTTTACATAACTGAATTATCACTGAGTCTCAAGTGACTAATGCTTTAACACATTTACATTTCAGTCAGTTATCGCATTTCCAGAAGTGTATATAACCTGACTGTATGGGAAGAAAATGTCGTCCTTACCTGAAAGGACAAAAACAAATCATATTCGTTGGCTTCTAAGTCGTGTGTGCGTGCACGTGTGTGTTTCTGATGCGTGTGCATGTGTGTGATGTACACAGAAGTTAGGAAACTTATCTACCTAAAGTAAACCTGAGGGGAAATAGCCTTTTCCCGGGAGTCACCAATGAATAGAAGATTGTGGTAAAGTTCCCTGCACCAATAAACGCTTCAGAAACGATAGAGGGGCCGGCGCTGTGGCGTGGTGGATAAAGCCGCCACTTGCAGTACTGGCGGCCCATATGGTGCCGGTTCGAGTCCCGGCTGCTCTGCTTCCAATCCAGCTCTCTGCTATGGCCTGGGCTGGGAAAGCAGTGGAAGACAGCCCGAGTCATTGGGCCCCTGCACCCGCGTGGGAGACCCCAAAGAAGCTCCTGGCTCGTGGTTTGGATGGGCACAGCTCCAGCCGTCGTGGCCATCTGGCGAGTGAACCAGCGGATGGAAGGCCCCTCTCTTCTTTGCCTCCCCTTCTCTCCCTGCGTAACTCTGACTTTCAAACAAATAAATGAATCTTAAAAGAGAGAGAAATGATAGAAATGTTACGATTCAAAGGAGTCTAGCGCATTACCATTGCTCTTTTTGCACTTTCAAGATCTGCTCAAATTTCTCCTTGGTAGCGTTGGGAGAATTATCTGCATTCACTGTGCGCCTTCTTCTCTTTGCCGGAAGGGCCAACTGAACGTCAGCTACATGGAAGATAAATACTCACTGAAACTTAATGTGGAAAAGTACTCTGTACCCATATATCCAAATCAACATGGGAGACGTTGGCTCAGCAGTATTGGAAAGACATCTACAAATCCTAATACGGACACCGTTCCGAAAAGCAAGATTTACTCATCTTCTGTGAACACGTACGGGGCAATGCTAGTATTCCAACTCTAGTTGTTTACGGATGGATCAACTTTTAATTTAGGGACGAGAAAGAAGGACTAATCACGAAAATAGTTCCCGCTTGTGAAAATACGTACAAAGAGTCTCAAAACACGACTTCAAGTTCATGAGAACTTGGTTAAAAAGATCAAATTGTTTACACTTATGAGGTACCCTCAAGTTCAAAGGACACCATTATGCAGAATATAGTTAGCGCTAAATGGATAACACACACCAAGCATTTATGCTTAGCAGCTCCATCAAAATGATAGAAAAATAGTTCAACACACAGTAAGATTGCTTTGAAACCACCAGGTAAATGATTCTTTTAGCTGAAGTTGACCGAGAGAGGCAATGCCTGTGGGCATGCAAGTTCCACGTTCAGCAAATAAATAGGTTCAAGGGTAGAGACTGTCCCCGAGCTTTGAAGAACACATTGGTATCCACTATTACTGTGTTTCTAAAAATTCTCAAACTACACGTAATGCTTCAGTAAGCATCGGATTTTCCCTCGGGAATCTACTGAGTTATTTTCCGTTACTCACAAGGGATCTGCAGGGCCATAAAAATATTCTAAACTTACTCTACCCATCCATACCAATCCATCTCTTGAGCGACTCCTAGAAGAACAGCTTTGTCCACACCAAAAGAACAGAGCGCTCAAAGCATACTTGCACAGGTGAGTTATCTCTACACAGGTGTCCAAAATTGGTTGGGATTCTTTGCTAAGGGTCCTCTCGCTAAAGGCTCTTGGCGAAGAGCCAGCAATTTACACGTTTTTACCAGTGTGGTCCTCTCAGACAGCTAGCGTAACAGACATTTCACACGGCACTACAAAATTTATGACTGTTTGGATCCAACTGCACCTCCTCAATAGCTAGAAAAATTATCTGAAATCTCTAATACTCAGTTTGTTGACAGTAAACTGTGTTCCAGAGGACGCAATTTGTAGGCTACTCCAAAGAAAACATCAGATATCTGTAAAAAACATTAACTATATTAGTAGCATGAGAAATTAACATAGCGCATACTGTATATGTGCTAAAAGGAGATCTCTCCCCCCACCCCCCACTGTCTTTGAATGCATGACATTTCTACCTGGACAAAGCAACAGGGTCACTCTTACTCTTATCATCAGAAGACCGTCAGCAGCGTTCTTGCTTTCCGCATCAACAATCTAAAAAGCTAAGTAAGGAAACCTGTGAAGCTGAATCACTCACGACACTGACACAGAATCCTACATACGAGGAGACCAGTCCTGTAGTCCAGCGTGCAATGCTGTCTACTATAATGCTTTTTATGGTTTAGGTTGGTTGTTTGCAAGGGCAAATAGCTGAGAAAGCATACCTGTACGTCCTCGTGACACCTTCTGGGCGTCATCCCTGTGGAAAAGCCACATCAGAGATTTAAAACAAAGCTAGATAAAATGGCAGGTGATTTGGAAGACCTCTCATGCCACGTGTTTCCTACGGAATAGTTATTAGTGGGGCCAAAGGTCACTGTTCTCAATGTAGCTTAGGTGGCGGGCAAAACACACTTTAAACACATTACCCCACTTCCACTTCCAGCGCAGCTGCTCCAGCAGAAGCAGAGCTGTTCCCGTGGGGATCAATTCCTGGATTGCCGGCTGCGTTGAAATGAGGAGAAACACACTTGGTTAAAGGTGTAGCCAACGCGGAACATTTCTCAGGGAGAACCGTCACTCTCAGGGTGGGGTGTGATTCTCAGCCTCTTGGCCAGCAACCCCTCTGAAGGCAGACCTGCCAGGGGCATTCCTCAGGTGCAGGACGCTGGAATCGGGCCAGGGCCCAAGACCAGGTACGTGGCCTTTGTCCCAGGCCATCGGGGTCTGGCGCTCAGAAAGCTCTGCGCTGCACGTCAGACACGTGTGGAAGTAAGGACGCGCAGGGCCAGGACAGCGGGCCGTGGAAGCCACTGGCACCCTGCCATGTGGTGGAAGCCTCAAGAGGGAACTGCCAAGTCTGCAAAGCCATTTTTCAGACTCCGGGCTTGGCGCGTCTGCCACGCGGTGGAGGCCAAAGGCAAGACCCGGGGACCGGGGCCGCCCAGTGTGCCACGTGCCAGAGATTGAGCCCCGCCCTCCCCTGGGAAGGGCACATCCATAAGAGAAGCTGGGCCCCGGCCCCGCCCACCCTTTACCTTGGTGCCGCAAGTTCCAGGCTTCCAGATGGGAGGGTTTGCTTCGGGTCGCTGAAGCTTCCCGGAAGCGCTTCCTGCTCTCGGGCGCCATGGCGGGCTGCATGCTTCCACGTGCGAGTGAAGGCTCCCGGGCTAAAGGCATGGGGGCAGGGGACAGGAGTTGGGGGCCGTGCCACGGATGCCGCGTCATGGAGGCCAACGGCACCACCGCCTGGCGAACCTCCAGCCTCCTGCTGCGGGCAGGGAGGGAGGCACAGGCAGGGTTGGGCAGGACTGGGCAGGGGACCGCCACTCCCACGCTTCACACCTACCCGCAGTCCCCTGTGCCGCCCTCTTCCCATGGAAAGATCCCGGCTCCAGCACTGGGGCCTGCTGACGCGCCATAGGCAGCCCCCACCCCCAGGAGGCCTTCTGGTGACCCGAATGGCAGGCCCTGACCGTTGGCAGAGCAGTAGGGACACGCACAGACATCCCTGCCTCACCCCGGGTCCACAGACCCACAGCTCCCCCCCCCGCCCAACGCCTCCGACACCACCCTCCAAGGACCTCAGGAGTGGTCCAACCCGTGCCTGGAAGCCGCCTGGCGCAAGCCTGGGCCCCAGCCCCAGCCCCAACCCCAACCCCAACCCCAACCCCGAACTCGGCCTTTCAAGTCACTGCTCGCCCTCCCTCAGGGTCTCCCTCAGGCCCCGACAAAACACAACGCCAATGGGAGGATGTACCCCCAGACATCTGCCGGTCCGGCCCCACCCGGGAAGCCAATCCAGGTCCCCAAATGGCCGCAGAGCACCGCCCACCCCAGTCACTTGCTGCTGCCGCCTCCCCAGGGGTCTCACAGGCACTGAAGACAGCAAGATCAACGGCGACCCCCTCCGCAATGAGTTCCTCTCACACAGGGTTGGCTCTGGGCGGGCTGCGTGCTGATTGGTCAGCACAACGCCTGCGCAAGGCCGTCCCTGCGGAGCCACGCCCCTTCTGCCTCGCGGAAACCCCCTCTGCACGAGGGGGTGACGCTTGGCGTTCTGACGCTGCCGTCGTTTTCCGGCACTTCCTGTTCCTGGACGATGGCGCGGCAATGCCGGCCTCGTGGCCTGCCGCGGACACCGTGCCTAACCCAGCGCCACGGACAGCGGCCCATTCCTGTTCCTACTCCATCCTTTTGAGGTGGGCAACGATTATATTCATCTCTGAACGGGGTTCCTGGGGGTCATGTCTCCTGCCAAGCTAAAAATACTTAGGGGAGACTAGAGACGTGCGCAAATACTAACCAGAGAGTGGTAACGTGCGCAGATACGAATGGCGTATTTATTTAGCGGTCGAGGAATAAATACCCATCGTCTTGTGATTGTGCATCACCCCTCACAGAAAAACCCGTCATGAGCGGGCCAAAGTATTGCCCTAGAACGGGAGAAAGTGTACTTTGTTGGGTGGCCTGTGGTGAAAGGCGAAGAAAACAAGAGCGGCCACCTGAGCGTGTTCAGCTGTAGAAAGCGAGCCTCCCCTCCTACCGCCAGCCCTTCCCATACCCCCCACCGCCTCTCATCTGTCCTCAGTCCCTCCGCCGGCACTTCCCAACCTCGCATCTTTCCTCCGGCCCTCCATTCTGCCCCCCCCACCCCCATTCTTCCCATCAGCACTTTCCACCCTCCGCCTGCCCCGTCTTTCCTCCTGCCAGTCCTTCTGGCCGTCCCTCCATCTTTCCTCCCACCAGCCTTTCCACCCGCCCTCCCCGCAGGACTGCCTGCACCCCAGGACTCCCCTCACCCGCCACCCTTCTCCCTTCCTACCCTGCCTCCCCCGCACCTCCCCTTGCCTGCTCCTGCACCTAGGACTTCCTCCCGTTGGCCCACTCCCTGCTTGCTCCACCTTGCTCCCCCACCTCCTAACCATGGTCTGCGGCAACTAAGGGGGGAAACAAGAGCCACACCTCTGAGCATAGTTGCTCAGCCACGGGCTTTCCTCCATCCAGCCCCAGCCACCCCTCCCGCACCCCCCCTGCCCCCTTCCCCTTTTCAACCACGGCTTACCCGCTCTCCCACGACTACCCCCGCACCCACCTCCCACTGCCTCCCCATGCCTCCCTCACCAGCCCCCCTCCTTGTTCCGCCCCCCCTTTGGCCTCTCTCCTCCTCCTTCTGCCTCCTGCCCCCCCCACCGCCCCCCATGCTGCCTCCTCCCCCTCTGCCACTTGTTTCTGAGGTGCAGTGTGGTACCCCCCATCAGGTACACAGATGAGGTGGAGTCTTAGCGTGCACCCCGGTGGAGGATGCCACAGGTGCGCCCTGGGAGGGTGAGCGTATCAAGCTGCCAGTTCAAGAGACAGACACTGCTTTGCAAGGGTACAAGAGTTACAGCTCGCCTAAACGTCGAATAACTGCCTAGTTACATCATGCCATCTCCTCCCTCCCCTTGGAGAATTCTGTCCCTTGATCTTGAGGGGATGCTGAAGAATGATGATCCATCTTCTAGAGTTACTTTGTACTGGTCGGGGTCATGGACCTTTCGTATCCTGGGAGTGGAAATCTTGCCTGTCTAATCTAGTGCGTCTATGTGAAGAGGCAGAAGATCTCTGTCTGCTTGTGCCAGTGGTGTGGCCCCTGCATGGTCATCATTACTTTGGTCACTCAGCACGAGCATAATTGGAAAGACAGACCATAGGTGGGATCCTCTTAAGAAAGGGAGCATTTATTGTTTCCCAAATAGTGGGGACTAATAGGCTTTCCTTACCCAAAGTATGGAACCAAGCCTGGTGGTAAAGTTTTTCAATTGTCTCTCTCAGTAAACAGACTGCCCTTAGAGTAAATGTGACACAGTCCATTAATCACCGCACACGTTCCACTTTGTTGTACCAGTATGTATTCTAGGGCTAGTCAGTTGTCCACGATACCTTAGGTATAGCATTCTGAGACTTGAGTATTTGGTGTAAAATCTGGCCTGAAGTCTGGGCTAGGTCGCCACAGGCAATAGACAGTTTTTGAAAGCAGCTTCATGAGACACAGCTGGATCTCCTCTTGTGAGACGAGCACACCAGGGAGTTTTCCTGCCTGTAACAAAGAAATGAGAAGATGGAGGAAAGACGTGTCTCCCACAGTGTGCACTGGCCTTGAGGTGACCAAACGAAATGATTTACGTATGCTTTAACTTTTTGAAGAGTAGTTGAGGTCTTCAGTTGGCCCACAAGGGTAGGAAGGCTTATCTTATGTACACTTACGAAGATTCAACAAGTAAAAGGTTAAATCCTGACAGATGTACCCAGCTTGGAATACCCTGTATCTAACTGCAGTGGGAGCGCTGAGTAGCGCCTTGGAAGGTCCCTTCCGTGTAGGCTGTAATTTGGTCAGAAGTGGTTCATCCCTTCCAAGTTTTTAACAGAATGAGCACTCCTGGGAGCTTGGCAGCTTGTGACTTTTGGGGACTTGTCCCGGGGTAGTTTCTGTTCCCATACTCTTTCAGAGCCTCTAGTGCCTGTCCTACTTTGGCAACATGCTTTTTCTGAGTACTGGGATCAAAGAGAACCTCAGAATTGAAAAGGGTCTTCAATGTAGCGTTTCAAACGTGCTCAGTTTAAGGGCAGCCTTAGGTGCTGTTCTCATCCTGAGCAGGTCAATGGACAATAGATCAGACCGTGATTCTGAGGTTTCTGTTGGCGTAAATGTGACACAGCCCATTAATCACTGCACGTGCTCCACTTTGTTGTACCAGTATGTATTCTTGTGCTAGTCAGTGGTTCATGACTACCTTAGGAAGGGCATTCTGAGACTTGAGGATTTGGTGTAAAATCTGGCCTGAAGTCTGGGTTAGGTTGCCACAGGCAATAGGCAGTTAAGATACGGGGTATTCCAAGCTGTGTGCATCTATCAGGATTTTTCATTATTTGAGTAGGGAGATCAGAGCTTTGCCAGAGTTCATAAAGACCTTAATTAGCTAGAAGTGCTGTGGCAGTGACTGCCCTTAGGCATGCAGGCCATACTGACGACACCCGATCTGGTTACTTAGAAAAGTAGGTCACTGGCCACAAAAGTGGACTCAGCCTCCGAGTGAGTGCACCCAACGCTATTCCCCGTTTCTCTGCGCAAAGAGAGAGACCCACTTGTCCGAGATATTTATTCCTAGTGCCTACAAGTTCTTGAATCCCTTCCGGAAAACCCACTGGTTGCTCCTCTGCCCAGTGAAGAGTGTCTGTGTCAGGACCATTTAAATAGTCTCCTAGATAGATTTGGCTGTCAACCAAATCCTAGAATCCATATCCTACAAAATCCACCCCCCACCCCCATTCCCTGGAACGTCCTTAGCTGTTTATCTTTGGTGGCTCCATGCACAGTACCTTCCTGAACCTTCAGTGAAAGAGCACGTCTTCCTGGGCTCATAATATGTCCTAAGCAGTTTAATTCTTGTTTGGAAATCTGAGCTTTGGTTGGGGAAACGTGTCATTGTCTCCCTAAGGAGTTTAAGATCTAGGTTTTACTTTTATCTGAGTCCTCGTGGGTGGACCTGCAAGTGCGAATGTCATCTGCGTTTTGGAGAATGGCTTCGGTCGTCAGTTGGAGTTCCCTGTGTTCCTTTGCAAGAGCATTACCAAACAAGTGAGGACTATCTCTAAAGCCTTGAGAAAGGACTATCCCAAGTATACTACTCAGTTACATTGGGAGATGAATCAGTCCACTCAAATGTAAGTGGAAACCGGGATTCTGGGAATAACGGTATGTCAGAGAAAGCATCCTTTAGGTCCAGCACTTTGGCATAGTGAGTAAAGCTGCTGCCGGCAGTGCCTGCATCCCACATGGGCGTGATATTCAAGTCCCAGTTTCTCTACTTCTGATCATCTCTCTGATATGACCTGGGAAGACAGTAGAAGATGGCCCAAGTCCTTGGGCCCATGCACCCATGAGGGAGACCCGGAAGAAGCGCCAGGTTCCTGGCTTCGGATCAGAGGAGTTTCGACCAGTGTGGCCAGATGGGGAGTGAAGCAGTAGATGCAAGACCTCTCTCTTTCTCTGTGTCTCCTTCTCTCTGTGTGTAACTCAAATAGATTTCTAATAGACTTTCAAATAGATTTCAAAACGGATTTCAAATAGGATAAATAAATCATTTTAAAAAATGAGGAACCTTGGAGTAGGTGCTGTGGCATACCAAGTAAAGCCACGGCCTGTGGTGCGGGCATCCCATGTGGGCACTGGTTCAAGTCCCAGCGGCTCCACTTCCGATCCAGCTCTGTGCTGTGGCCTGGGAAAGCAGTAGAGAATGGACCAAGTCCTTGATCCCTGCACCCGCGTTGCAGACCCAGAAGCAGCTCCTGGCTCCTGGCTTCGGATCGGCACAGTTCTGACCATTGTGGCCAATTGGGTGTGAACCAGTAGATGGGAGACCTCTCTCTCTCTCTCTCTCTCTCTCTCTCTCTTGACCTCTCTCTCTTTCTCTTTCTCGCTCTCTCTTTCTACCTCTCCTTCTCTCTCTGTGTAACTCTGACTTTCCAATAAAATAAATACATCTCTTTGAAAACTGAGGAACCTCAACAAACTTAGGCTAATTTTACCCATCCTGTATCCATCCTGAAGTCACTGGTGACCTCCATGGGGCTATACCAGATGAACGTACTCTGGCCCCCCCTTTACTGATTCCCAGCAGTGGTCAACACAGTTGACTACTGTACTTCTTCTCGTTGCTTTCCTCCTGTCTCCTTTGTCCTCCATAACTACGTGTTGCTTCTGCGCTCCTCTTTGCACTCTGTGAGTCTGTCAGTATCTTGGTTAACCCCACCTCCCAAGTGGCCCTGACATGCTGAGAGTTTCATGGGACTCCGTTTGGCTCAGTTCTCTCCTCGCTGTACAACTCACTGTTTCTCTCAACATGTTCGTATATGCCCATTGCCACCTTTACCATTTACATCAGAGTTTCTGAAAACAAGGTTTGCAGACGGGGAAGGGAGATATCAACATTCAGGATCCTTTGCTCGACCCAAGGTTTACCCATTTAACCCTGTTGGTGCAGATGTGAGACCAGCATTTTAAAGAGGGTCTCCAGGTGGTATTTTCTTTTTAATTTTGTAAGGTGGATAAATTTCAAGTATGGTATTGGTCTTTTGGGGACTGGCTTATCTCACTGCACTAAGCATAAGGATCTCCAACTGCATACATTTTGTTGCAAGAGACGGGATTCAACTCATT